GTGTGTGTGTGTGTGTGTGTGTGTGTGTGTGTGTGTGTGTGTGTGTGAAGTCTCCTCTCTTTCCTTGATTTGCTGTTTCCCCAAGAGTGTGTGAGCAGCAGTAACAGTGAAATGCAAAATCCTTTGCAATCTGCCCAGGAAAAGACAGCTTTTGAGACGGGTTTATATGGTTACCCATATGTTAGAGCCCCTAAGAAAGGGAGGAAAGCTTGGATCTCGATCTTCTGCTCCCACAGCCCAGCCCCGCCCTCTCCCCACCTGCAGGCCCACTGGGCCACAGGTGAGCCAGGCCCCTCCCCAGCTGCCAGGCCTAAGTGCTGCTCCGGAGAAGACCAGAACAAGGCAACGTTTCCGGAACTGGCTGCTTCTGTCCCAGTCTGCCCACCCAAGAGCCAGGGCCGGAACCCAAGCTGCGACCTCCTGCGGGCTCCTGGGGGCTTCCGGCCACGCCCCGCGTGGGGGAACCGCGGGGCCCACTGTCCCGTTAAGGAATCCTATCCAACACTGATGCAGAGACCGAAAGAAGCATCCCCGCCTCCCATGGGGCCTTGTCTGCCCCCCCCCCCCCAAGAGCTGCCCTGTGGCCACTGCATTCAGCCCCCTCCAGGCTCCCAGAAATCGTCGTGGTGTGTGTGTGTGTGTGTGTGTGTGTGTGTGTGTGTGTGTGTGTGTGTTTCCTGATAGGGGGGAAAAATGGAAATTAGGTTATATAAAAGATGTATGCTTTGGAGCCCAGAGCGGCTCTTTTAATGAGGGTTGCGACGTCTCCCGCCCCACACCCATAAACCAGCCGGGTTGGACGTCACCGCTAATTCGTTTCAGCGATGATAGGATAAAGGAGGGACATTAAGAAATAAATTCCCCCTCACGACCCTCGCTGAGCTCACGGCTCAGTCCCTACATATTTATGCCGCGTTTCCAGCCGCTGGGCGAGGAGCCACTTAGCGCGGCGGCTCCTCCGAGGGGCGGCCAGGCGGCGAGCGGCAGCCGGGCTGCCGAGGTGAGCCAGGGGCGCACGCGGGGAAGCCCGCAGCCTCCGTCCCGAACTTGGGTTCGCTGGGGCGGAGGGAGGGGAGGGGACTCGGGAGGGGTGGGGGCTCGGCGAGAGGGGGCGGGGAGGGATCAGAGAGGCACAAAGCGGAGGGGAAGGGGGAGGGACGCGCGCGGCTCCCCTCGGGAGGTGAGTGGGTGCCACTGGCGCCCTCCAGCCGCGCGGGGCGGCGGACCGGGAGGATTCGGAACCGCGAGCGCGGCGGCCGCGGGCGCCCGGGAGGAGGAGGTGGAGAAGGAGGAGGAGGAAGAGGAGGAGGAGAAGGGCAGGCAAGCGGACCCGCGGCCGGGCGGGCGGGCGGGCGCGCAGCGCGAAGAGGCAGCCTCGGCGCTGCCCGGCTCGGCGGCAGGTGAGTTCTCGGCCCAGCCGTCCCGCGTCCCCTCCCGGTGCCCTAGGGCTCCCCGCCCCGGCGCCAGCCCCGGGAGTGCACGGGAGGCGCGGGGTTTGCCGCGCGTCCCAACTTGGTTCGGGCGACCCTGTTTTCTCCTCCCAGCGGGCGGCCCCAGGCCGGGGGCGCGGGGCCGGGGGTCGACGCGCCCGCCGCGCTCCAACTTTGCAGGGACCCGCGTCCCTCTCGAGCCGCGCGCTCGGCTGCGAGCTGCGCGCCCGCGGTAATGGCGGACCCCTTGGCACCGCTCGCTGTCCCCGGCGGGCAGCCCGCGGCTGGGGGACGCCGCTCCCCGCGGATCGTTGCACCTGCCCGGCCTCAACTTTAAGCTTTGCTGCGCGCCCGGCCCCCCGGAGGTATGGCACCTGCGCGCCCGCGGTAATGGCGGACTCCGCATCGCTGGCCTCCTCCGGCGGGGGCCCGGAGGCTGGGAGGGCTCCGCTCTCGGGAAACGTCCCTCCTGCCTGGCTTCCAACTTTGCGAGGATCCTCGTCGCGCGCCCGCGGTCATGGCGGGGTCGCCTGCACCTCTTACTTCTCCAGCCCGGGCGGGATTGGGGTGTAAGAGCGCCGGCTCCCAGAACCTAGGAAAGTTGTGCCTCTCGCTGGAAAAGAGGCTCTGGGGCTCCCGGCGCGCGCGTCCCCCGGACGGACGAGGGGCGCGCTCCGCGGTTGGGATTTGGGACCGGGCAGTGCACTGCGAGCAACGGCTTTGCTTCCAGGTGATCAAGGGTCAGGGCAGGGTCCCCGTGAGATCCAGCTTCCAGGACCACCCGAAGGTCCCTTGGGTCCGAGGGTCCCGACAGGGCTGTCTGGATTGCGCCCTAGAAACCCTGAGACCCTCGCCTCCATCCCGGGGTGGGGGACGGCACTGCGGCCGGAGCGCCCCGGGCTCTCTGCGGGCTGGAGACCGTGCTGCCTGCGGTGGGCACCCGGAGGGAAGAGGTGCGCGCTGACAAGGCGTAGAGTGAGGACTGGGAGCTTCCGAGGGACACCCCTGGGCTCCAATCCTAGATTTACCTTTTCCTGGGTGTATGGCCTCAGTTCTCTTGTCTGTAAAATGGGAAAAACAATTCCTTCCTCGCGGGGCCGTGGTGAGGACGTCAAAAAATTATGAATGGGAATAAAGTGCTCAGTGTTTCTGATAGTTTATTGTTGTAACGCCCCTGGGCCAGATCCGGGAGACTCGGGGTCAGGTGTTTCCTGCCAGTAGGACCTACAGATCCGCCCCTCAAGGCCCCCAGGCTGGGGTCGGAGGCACTTACCTCTAGTGGAACCCGAGTAGTCCAGGAGAAGATGCATAGGGTTCTTCCTGGCAGATGAGATCCCATTCTAATTCCATAGTTTAGTTCAAACCGTGCACACAGACCCCAGAAGAATCTACAAGTGGCCAGTGATGAAGCACCCCCATGGGGGTCCCTGAGCATAGATGTGGTGCTGGTGAGCCTGCCCAGGGCACATGGTCTGGCCTCCGGTGGCCCACGACCTTGACAGAGAGGAAAAAGGAACTAACCCCTCAAGCCAGCCCCCCACTGAGGAAGGAGAAGAACCTTCTCCCTCTCTTCTAC